TATATATTTACTTTTTAAGCGATATTAACGGCTTTATATTCCATACGTTGCATTGACTTTGATCAGTTGGGGTTAAATAACTTGTTGCCAGCTAAAAGGTAATCGTCAGTACAGTAACGATCCAAAAGGGGGCTCTTATCTATTTGCTTGGTTATATCTTAAATTTTATTTTATTAATTTTTATTTATTTATTCATTGGCGAGGCATTGTAGTACCTGTAAACATATATATTCTAAGGCCGCTATGCATATTTTCATAAAATTATGTTGCTTTAATAAATACATGCATCCATATATTCAAAAACAGCCATCATGAGAGCATAAATCAGAATAATTGAAAACGTCTACGCACACGCATACATACTGTATGTTGCAAGAGGTTTTCCTTTCATGATTATAGTGTGTTTCCCAGTAAATCCAGTAGATGGCAGTACGTCAGTACACATTCTCCCTTTCCGTCTTCTATACATGCACTGTTCTGGAAGGTGTGCCTCTTGGCACCAGGATGTGGGTCCCTTTCCCTGCATCACTTTCCCTTCGCAGTATGACGAGTGAACGCAAAGTGACAGCACAAATTAACTTTTATTACTGCTGTAATGAAGTACACAAGCTATTTGGATGTGCTATGAAAAATACCTGGATTACATCTTGCAGGAGAGTGTCCCTGCTCTTTCAGTCTGTCTATTACACACACACACACACACACACACATGCACCTCTGCAGTGTTTCCCCCTCTTTCATCTTTTCCCTCCCTTTATAGCTCCCACTCTCCATCTCCACTACTTGTTCATAGCCAGAATGGCGTCGCCACATATCAAACACACACAACACACTTCCTCGCCATCTGTCTGTGCAGCGGCCCGTGTCTCTGGCACTGGGAGCAGTTGGGATCCAGCGAATGAAAGAGAGGGTGTCTCCTGGCACTGCGCTCCTGAATCCAACTTCCTCTCTATTTTTCTCCTGCTGTGCTGTTGTCTATCAAATTGTCTCAACATCATGATGGCCCTGCCGAAGGGCTCCCACTGCTATTGTAACAGAAGTGGTGATGTTGTTCGGAGGGGGGAAAAATCTCTCTTTTCCTTGGAAAATGCTTGAAAAGGAAACAAATACTTTGATCAATTTCTTTTTAAGTTTGTTCAGTGTAAAGTATTTATTTATTGGGGAATTCTTATGCAAGTCAATAAGTGTAAATAGTCTGATAGGCCCGTTGTGCTGTATATGCTGGACTTTCCAAATCATACCTCAGATGGAATAATTTATTGTGTATTTACACACAAACTGAGTGTGAATCGCAGCATTTAGTAACAAACTGGAGAGCAAAATCCACAGGAGTATATAGTAACTTGATCATCAGACATCCATTCTCTTTCCTCTGAATTTGTATAACCACTGAGCGCTACAGAAAAACCCTCAAGCAGCTTAAGTAATTGGAAGGATTGGAAAACACGCCTTCCGTCTCTCGCTGCCTCCTCCAGTTAACGGCAACTAAAAGTGCCTTCATAACTGTTACCGCTATATTCAAGCGCAGTGATAAGAAATGGCAGCTCTCAGCAGGCAGTTTGAGAGCCGTTATTGTGGGCGATTATATATATAAAAATTGATTTATGTGGCCTATCATAAGCGGCTGCAATATGTGGATGAATATGGGCTAATATAATATTATGGAATAAGTAAGAGGGTTAAAGAAAAGGCCAGGTCCTGCCTGGAGGTAAAGAAAGCTCAGATGTGTAAGACATAAGGTGCAATATGTTTTGTTTCCCTCTTGTATAAATATCAAAACTATAATTCATGTAGGAAATAATACTAATTTTAAAGAAAAAAACAGTAGTATTTTTTATAATAACAGAGTATTATTGGACAGCGTAGTGTGGGGATACTTACAAAGACATACTGTGTAGAAAAAAAAAAGAAAGAGTTAACTATGCCCTAAACTAAAACTGAACCACAAGCTAACATATGGTAAATCTAGCTTCATAAAATATACATGGAAGTGCCAATAGCAATGGATAAGCTGGAGAGTATTGTGGTGCTGCACACTGCAGAGTTAATTATAGAGAAGTCAGATTAAAATCCATGGTTTGTATGCATTCGACTGCAGAAAAAAAATAAAAAATTGCATTTGCATTTTTGAATGGGACTATACATATAAAAATACTCATACAAAACATGCTAGTTCTCTGTTGTCAATATTGGAGTCCCTCCATTAAATTCAGCAGGGAGAGAAAGGCTAGGCGTAGCAAACAGCCTCATGTTTACCCCTTGGCAGAGCGCTGGTTCCATGTCCAGACTTGTAAATCAGGCCCATTGAGGTAGCATAATGCTGATGATTATGACAGCCAGTCGCATGGGAGTGATAGAGGCACGTTGAGTTATGGGCTCGGGGTGGATGCCCAGAACTGAAGAGTCTCGCAAATGGAGAAGCACTTTCACCAAAACACGGGTCCCCAGATGGGGACTAATGCTGCATTTGGCGGCTGTGCCACTTAAATGACTGCACATTAGCTGCCCGCTGCCCACCAAATAGTAAAGTAGGTTAGATTTTGATTTCACAGTGCTGCCATTTCCCTCTTTTTACAGCAGGATAATATTACAAAAATGCATTGCAGACCTGCATGAAAGAGTGAGACGCAGCCAGTGTACTTTAAAAGTGTTTTAGGTGGCACCTGTGTGTAGTTCATCACTCAGCTGGATGACTCTAAGACAGGGAGAGGCATTTTCGTTCAATGTATTGTTAAAGAATGCACTGTTAGCACGCAGCTCAACTCATTCAACCCTCGGTTGCAGATGAACAATCAGTCATTTCCATTGATCGTCAGCCATGATAATATAATCAGGCATAAAGCCTGACAAGGCTGACCACCTCGATAGATCAGAGCTGCTGACAGCACAGCTATGCACAGGTCATAAACCCTCACCTTCCCTGTTTGACCCCACATCAATTTGGCTCTTTCCAATATGAATGCAAATAACAATGCCTTTTTGGTGACATGTTTATGGTTATCTCTGTATCTCGGCTCGCTCTGCCTGCTGATCCTAAATGTGCTGATGTTACCCAGCTAATGGGATTGAGAAAAGGTAACCAATTGCTCATCAGCGGTCAGGAAGCCTTCACCCTCCCTAAAACAAACAGAAGCAGCTGTGCATGTCCGCATGTGCGCACACGCACACACACACAGGTATGCAAACCTAGAGTACATATTCTCCAAAACAGTTCCTTGTGCATGCACTGCGATGACAAGTACGTGGGTTTAAAAACAAACAAACAAAAAAACAGGGTGTAATAATTGCCTTATAGTGGGGTGAGATGGTGGTCACTAAATATGCTTGATCGTGTACTGAGCTTCCGTGCTGTGTAATGAAATATGGCTGCTGCAGATGGGCTCCGGCTCCATGGTGTTCTCGCCAATCTCACTGGGTTTTTGTATTCACCCTTTTCACTCCTCTGTTCTGACGTTTTTGTCTTTGCTAACCATTGCCTTTGTGATAGAAGTTAGGCCAACAGAGCATTTATTGCCATTGAACACTTATCCCTGCTATAATGTAATAATCACCGGAGCCAAATCCAGACTAACTGAGGATTCCTCTGCACATCAAAGAGGCAGGCTCCCTAATATTCCTCTTGCCCACAATTTATTTCATGGACTCATTAGCACCAGGAAGGTGTACAAAGCAAACTGTGATAGCAAAGACAAAAAATACCTTACTTTTATTTAAAGTAAAAAAAGATATCCAGCTATATCCTCACTTCCATGTAATTAGTTTGCTTTAATACTTTTTTGATCAATTGAAACATAAACCACCAAATCATCACTATCGCTATCTAGATCATGGTTTCTTAAAACATGTTCTCAAAGATCTGAGTCTAACGATCCTTTACGTGTAATTAAATTCACGTGAACTTACGTACATTTATCACACCAGATACAGGCCGGGTCTGTATCGCATATACATATTGTTATTACAAACACAGCTGTATGTGTTTGTGGAGGCTTCAACTTCAGGTCAGATGTCAGGATTACGTCAGACCGACCAAACCAAGCGCAGAGCAATAAATAAGTCTACAGCTGACAAGCTGACTGACAATTGTCAAATGGATTGCGAGAGACCGTAGACCGAAATAATCTTGTTCAGGACAAGGTCTCCACCAAAGTTTCTCAACACATTTCTAGATTAACTGTAATAACTAAATACATAGCACATTCAGGTACCTGCTGTCATTTGTCTTTCTCTTCCAGCAATACATAAAATAAATTGTCATATCAAGTGGCCAGAGGAAAAAAAAATCAGCTGAATTTACTGCATTTTTCCTCCTTTTTGACTTGCAGAATACTGTAACTCAGGCCTAATTTGTTATGCTACTTAAGGGAAAATGTAATTAGACTTGTTTTCATTATAATTCACATGGCCAATCGATAACTGTGGTTAAGTCACTCTCCACTGCACATGTAATTTCTGCTCCTTCCACAGTAACTTGGTCACAAAACAAGCACTTTGCTGTTCATTTATGGCCGTTCTAAACATAATGAAGAGCAGAAAATTATATAAACTAATGTCCATGGGAAAAGATTGTGTTTTTTCATGTCAGCTCCTCTTGGATTCCTTTTCATGCAGCTTTATTCATGATAGAAAGATCCCCTGTTGATTGTGATACAAGCTGAATGATTCCCTGGTTTTCACCTCAAATAGACAGGTTAATTAAACCATTCATCCATGTCTTGTTTTTTCCTGTCTCTCATTTAGTCTGTCCTCTTACCTGAGACATCAACCACAGGATGAGGCCTGCGGCAGGTAAGAGAAGAAATGTGCTGCCCTGACCCCTCTTTTGCTCACAACTCATTTGCCTAAATTAATTTGCAGTATTTTAGGGAATGATGAAACAGTTTTATGTAGTAGTTTACACTGCTCAGGCTTAGTATTTCTTTAAGGAGGAACTGCAACTTTCGAAAGTAAATACAAGCTAGAAAACACAACAACATCTTGTATGAAGCTAAAGCTTGACTCTACCTCTGTGCTCCCCCTTCGTCGTGACCCTCCAAAAGGGGTCATTGAGGAAAACAGACTATATCTGGCAACTTAAACCTTTTTTAGAGTGACTGAGAGAGTGTGGGAGACCGAGTGGCACTGATGGAACCAGACTAGAGCTGCTGCAACGCTGTATGCTGCACTGCGCCTGGTCTTCACCAGCCTGATTGATAGAGTGTGATGAGACTGTCACAGAGCAAGGAGAGCAGCAGGAGAGATAGGCGAGGTGGAGGGGAGGAAAGGAGGTGAGCTGACCAACGGGGAGATGGAGAAATAAATTTGAGAACATGTGAAGGATAAAGTGCACGGAATGGAGCGTCCGGATGGAATGCGTCTCAGACACATGAGGGACAAGAAGGGTTTATGGACAGGAGATCACTGTTAGAGGGACGCTGGGAGCTACAGCTCTTCACTTCCAAACCAGTCAAATTCAGCACAGGCAGAATTTGCTGACACCACCTTAATATGACAACATTACATTTTTATGACAGGTTAAAAGTGTAAGAATAACTATTTATTTTGTTATTGGTGGGGAAATATTAATTTTGCTACATCATTTAAACAGTGACAGAAAATGTTCAGATGTTTAAAACAATTTAGCTGATGGGTTATAACAAATGTAAAGAGGCAGAAAGAAAGGCTCATTTTGCAGTAGTGCCAGGTTTAGTATAGGCCTGTTACACACTAAATGAGCAGAGGGTTTAGTTTAGGTTTAGGTACTGACAGAAGATGGATCAACAGGTTAACAGAAGAGTAATTTTAACCAAACCTGTGGCTTACAATAAATGATCAATTTTTAAATTTTGTCGTACTTGTGTTAGCATTTAAATTTATTTTTAAGTTGTGCAACAGTCATTTTTGAACTCACATTTTCAGTAGTTCCTTTTGCATTGCTGCAATAATGGTAATGCCATGCTACAGGCATGTATCTATAGTTCAATAGTCCTCTGTTAATGTGTGTTATTATTTGAAGTACAAGTTATGTATAAATGTATTGGAACATCATCTTAAAATATAAATATAAAAACTGAAAACATCAACTTTAATGAAATATAGATGTAGCTGTTCTAATTTGATCCTGATTGATGTCTGTAAAACACAAATAGAGAACATATATTTCTATAACATTTCATATCATATCTGGTATTTTGGTTTTGTTTTGTACAGAAGTAAATGATCAAACTATTCCAGTCTCCCTACATGATTGGAAATACACCTAAGGTCACTGGAAGTACAACTTTAACTTCTGTGAAAACACCTGACCAAATAATAACTGTGGACTCTGACAATTATTACATGAGTCACGTTAGCAATGAGAAAGCACATGAGCTAAACCAAACGGCTGTCAGACAACTGCAAAGCATTTACTCTGTCTTTAAACCCCATGTCCTACGTGAGATTTGATCAGGGTTTCAAAGTGCTGACCTTTGTACGCACCGAATTGTACACACTGGCCTATTGCTGACCTGGAAAGAACACAATAAATTGTTCTTCAGCATGCAACCAGACACGCACACAATCATCCAAACACACACATACTCGCACACTGATAATTCATATTAGTGATACGGAAATCATAAAATAATATGCAAATGAGTGACAATATACAGCAGCTTCTCTTCTCTTTGATCCACAAAGCTACATACTATTTCCTGAAGGGCATCTAAATGTCATCAACAGTTTATTTGTTGTTTGTCTGTCTACCAGCCCCTACTCTGGACATAACACTAGATCCTGCAGACACATGTGGTCTTGGCAATCAGACGAGTTCCAGTTGAGCTAAAGCCCTGCTCTGGGAATTGCACAATTCCTGATTTCAGACTTAATATCAGCAGTATGATTTATTTTATCCCAACCTGAGGACAGACGGCAGACTAACCAGAATGCCAAATTTATTATTAGTGCCGTACACGTGCAGAAAAGAAGCTCTTTGTATGTGGGTGTTTGAAAGACAAAGCGTAGTCTCAGGTGCAGTACTCAGCCAACACGTAGGAGCGGCTGAGGAGCTCTTATCTGTTGCCTGCCAAGTCTTGACCAGGGCCCTGA